CTGCCCTGATATCTCCAGCTGACGTTACATCGTTATAATATTCGTTTAATAACACCACCGTGAGATGATAGAGAAAATGAAGAAATTGTCTAAAACCAACGTAATTTCTATTTCGCTCGTATAAAATTGGCATTTTGGTTTTGGTGATCGCATTTTGCGCAAAGGAAGAGCTTATCACTACCACATCGATGCATCTTCCTATTGTTTGCAAAAAAAGGTTACATGAACTCAACGATTTTAAAGACGTGTACCAAACTTTGAAGGGAATAGTTGACTGCATAAAAGATTATGCATAGATTTAAATATGATGTTCATCTTCTTAATACTTGTCTCCTGCCGCTGTTTTTTTTGCATGTCTTTGATCAAAGTGCAGAAAAGATGGGAAAGAGCATAGGCGAAAGAGATTTTCTCGTCGAGATCATGAAGTATTGTCAAAATTTGAACAATACAATTGAAATAAGGCCTTGTACAACTCACTAAGGAATGCGATACGCCACAGAGTGTAGGATGTGTAGCTACAATGCAAAAAAGTCCATTTGTTGACCTTTTATTCCCACTCCAATCCGGTGTGAGTGCAAAAACGGTGGAGAAGAATACTTGCACTATGAGTACCTGCTTGGAATGGAAGTAGCCTGAAGTGTTAAATTCATCGTAAAGACGAATATTAATAACCTTATCAATGCGGTTCAACATTAAACTTCCAAATTGGACTCACAGATAATCTAGACCACAATTGGCGCTAGCGTTGCTTTTCATATTTTTGGTAGTGCCAAACTCACCCAGAGTACACTGGTCCCGTGCTTGGTCCAAAATTGGCCACGGAGAACAAGCGTGAATTCACGGAACAGCAGCTGCGAGAAGGACAAAATGTGGTGAGCCTGCAGTACGGGTCAAACAAGGGCGCCAGTCAGGCCGGAATCACCATGGGCAAGCAGCGCATGATCATGGATTAGATTTGCAGCGTCTTACTCGTCCTCTCCTCCGTTATCATTTCAGTAACCCTTCTTCTTCTTTACTCATGTAGCCTTAAGAATGCAATGTCCTCCTTTTCTCCCTTGCATTCTCCAACTATGCTCTCTTCCACCTCTTCAATTTGCCAAATTACAAGATTGATTTCAATTGTTTCGAGACATCTGTATTAAGTTTAACCCCTCTTGCTATTATACAATATATTCATCGCCTAAATTTTCATAATAATAAAAATTATCGAGTTGGTCAAGAGTTGGATGAAATCATGAGAAGCAAAACCAATGCATTGTGGTCAACTA